TGTTGAAATAAATCAATTGGTATGCTGTCAACTCCTGGAGCCTTGTTTTTTGCCAATTCTTTCAGAGCAATTTGAACTTCCTCCTTCATCACCATAGGCTCTTTTAATTTCATAAAATTCCTCTCTGTCAGCCAAATCTCACAGCAGAGCAAAACTGTCCCACAGAGTTTTCCAGGCCCTAAATGCTTATGAGAGCAGAATGCATTATCTTTCTACTGTGGAATGGCTGTGGGTTCAAGCTGCTAACTCACAAATTCAATATGTTGAAATGAAGTCAGGATCCCAGTCGTTGGCTATGAATGCAAGAGAAGTCTTTCTGCTGATGAGCAGCGGTTCAAACTGCCATAACTATGACGTTTGGGTTAGCAGTTAAACTTTGCCAATATGCCAAAGAGTTCCCATAAGCTATTTAGCTTGAAAGCCCACACACACAGAGACACATACACAGACACAGACACACAGACACACACACACAGAAGCACGCGCACGTAAGGGTTTTTCAAGGACTTTTTAATAATAATGTGCCTAATGATCTATAATGATGGCGGTGGTGGTGGTGGAGTTATGTGCCAGTCAGAACCAACTCCTCACTGACCTTCCAGTGGGTTTTCAGAATCGCATGGGAGGAGACTGTCCATCCTTATGCAATGCAGCTCGTGGATTCGAACCACATGTCCTTGGGACTGCAGTGTATTTTCTTATGACTATGCCACACACAGTTGAGTATCTCTAAAGCCACAAAGTTTCTACTTAGAACTGTTACCACATTTAAGTTGGTTTGTTTTCTTTACATAGTAGTGTGGTTGCTGTAGCCATCAAGTCAGAACCAACTCATAGCTGACCCTTTCACAGGTTTTCAGAAACTGTAAATCACATAGGAAGAGATTTCCTGTGGATTTAAACTGCGTGCCTTTGGCTTGGCAGCACAACATTAACATACCAGAACAATTTATAACTTGGCAGCATAAGAAATACAAAACTTGCAAATTAAAGTTGTGTGTATACACAAAACATGATATTTCAAAGGGAGTAGTATTAGTTCCAAATTTCAAGCCAAGCTAATTCTCTATCCCAGCCACAAATTTTTACTTAGAAACTCTTAAGCAAAATTATGAAACAAATTACAATCAGGAAGAAAAGAACTGCTATATATTTGTTTCCATAATATCAAAAAGGGACAACTCCACAGAACAGGCAAATGCTGAGAAAACTCAACTCAGGATGACAAAAATAGAATGAAAAAAGAGACAGAAAAATGCTCCATCTCAACCATAATTAGAGAAATGTAAAGTAAAACAAATTGAGATACTATTTTCCACACAATAGACTCGAAAAATTAAAATGATTGATGGCATTCAGTGTTCCTAAGGATCTGAAAAAAAATCAGAGCTTCTTTTATAGTACCAGTGAAAATATAATCTACAAAGTTTTTTTAAAGAGCAATTTGTAAAATTACTCTTCAACCATCAATTCCCTTTTTATTCTGTATACTAGAGAAACTGAAGCACACCAAACAATCTATTCAAGGTTGTTCCCTACAGTTTAACAGACACACACAAAATCCAGCTTCAGTACCTAGCCTACTGGATACCAAGCAGTAGTTAAAGGAGAGTATAACTAAAAGTATTAAAATGTCATGACTTCCAAGACATATGGTTACACTACAAATAGCAAGCTATAAAATAAGCTGCATGATGCAATGCTACATGTGCCCAAAACACAGCATGTTAGTATATATGTATCCAAGTGCATAAAAAATAACTATGATAATAAGGGAAAACTTCATAGTGATGATAGTTTATTAAAAGAACCTTTTTTTTACACTACGTGAGCTTTACTAAATTTCAATGCTTTAAAATATTTTCATATATTACTTGTCCAACTAGTTTATTGTACTAAAAGGCATTCACTAATTTAAACTAACCATCCATGCAGGTAAGCAGCTGGGCTACAATTCTCCGTTCCATGTCTTTTGAAGCAACTTCTCTTTTGGGCGTAATAGCATCAATTTCATCAATAAAAAAGATGCAAGGTGCATTAGCCTGGAAATAAGAGTATCATAACACAATCATAAAGACATTTCCTATATTGAAGTGAGGTTAGATGTATACATTTTTTTTAAATATTAAAGGTTAAGGATTAGTCACTAAAAGAACAGTATGTAAAGGTAGTTCAAATGTATTGCTTCCAATTTTTATTTAACTAAGAGAACCAAGATTCTTAAAAGACAAGAGTAACAAATTGAACACAGAGAACATTTCTCATTTTTTTTCATCAGTTCAGGTTTGTTATGATAAATTTACTTAAACTCTAGTAATTATACACAGCTGATAAGCTATGAAACACCATTTTATAACAGTAAGATAATAAGCTTTAAACAAATACACTCAAGCTTACTACAAAGTATAAAATAGTGTTTCCTTTTGCTAGGTGGAGCCGAGACACCTATATCTCATATTGACCCTATGAACACCAGGTCAGAGCCCTGTCCCATCCCCCACCATCGTCATTAAGCCCTCCATGCTCAAGCCCACTGTTACAGTCACTGCGTCAACTCATCTTTTTTTCTCTAACCCTCTCCCTTTTCCTACACGAGGTGTCTTCCCAAGAACGGCTCCTCATGATAACATGCCCAAAGTATGTGAGACAAAATTTCACTAGCCTTGCCTCTAACGAGCACTTCCTCCAGAACTGATCTGTTTGTTCTTTTGGTATTCAGTCAGTATTCTTCATAAACATAAAAAAATATCCAAGCTCTTCCCTAAAACCTGCATTAGGGGAAATTTAAGAACACCAGAAGCTCATCTGTATTAGATAAGGAAAACATTAGGATGGATTTGAATCCAACTCAAGCATTTTTATCAGATAAATTAGATGGGGTTCAAGAAAAATAAGATGTAATTATCAGGTTTACAAATTCAAATAAAACCATGTAGATTTAGTCTAAAGAACATTGTTAGTCACTGAGTGACAAGTGACCACTATGATCTACATTGTCAGGCTGGAAAGACACCTCACATTCTTGAGGACTAGAACATTTTAAAGATAAAAAAGCCCAACCCATCCCTTCGAGCTCTTTTCTGAACTGTCATGACAATGTTTACAAAACAGTCTTAACAACTGGATGCATTGCCCAGTAAGAAAGGAGTAAAGTTACAGAAAGCAATTGTCTATACTTTTAAGAGAGTTAGTTCATTAGTATTGGCAAAAGACCTAAAAAACTGAGTGGGACAAGGAGGAAAAACAAGTAAGTGAAGGGCATCAAGATTTTGCCGGAAGGAACCTACATTCATGTTTTAAAGAACTCCCTTCCGTCAGGTGACAGGACGCTGGTGAGGTCTGACACTTAACCACTGCCCTCCACCAAACAAAAAAACCTTATTAAATACAACAGCACCTTCCTGGAAAACTCTCAGATTTACTAATATGAAATACAATTAGGATAAAATCCAATCTGCAATTTCTCTGGTTACAAAATTATCTTTGTACAGCTTCAATGAGAAACTGAAAAATTTATTCTGGGCATTTCTAACAGCTGCTTTTCTAATTTGATAATCATAAAATATTAATCTATCACCAATTATATTTACATTTGATTTCCAACTAAACAGATTCTTTCATTTTACAATTGTGAAAGGTGACTGTCAGGAACCTCTCCAAAGTGCTAAAGAGCAATGATGTCAGTTTGAAAACTAAGGTGCACCTAATTTTTGGATCTTTTCAATTACTTGCTATGCAGCTGAGAGTTGGATAATGAATAGGATGAGAGAAGAATCACTGAGGTCTCTGAGGTGTGGAGAAGAATGCTGAATGTCCCACAGACTGCCTATAGGACAAATAAATATGTCCTGGAAAAGGTGCAGCTAGGGAGCTCCTTGGAGGCAAAGATGGTGAATCTCACATACCTTGGGCATGTTATTAGGAGGAGCTAATCTTTGGAAAAGAACATCACGCTTGAAAATCCTGAGGGTCAGTGAAGGAGAGGAAGATTCTGAGAGAGATGGCATGACTGATGCTGTGACTGTAACGGCAGGCTTGAGGACATCAGAGATAATGAGGAGGGCACAAGACAGGACAAGGTTCAGGTCCACAGTTCACAGGGTCGCTATGAGTCATCCTTGACTCTACAGTACTTAACTAAATCGACAATTATTAAATCGACTTTACAAATAGTAAATGAGCATGTTTGTAAAAGAATGGCCAGCACTAGATGAACAAATGCTAGTACAAGAGACGGGAACTCTGGTGGTGCAGCCCACAGGGAAGAGTGCTGCTATTCCTCCCTGGTGGCACCTCCCTAGCAGTTTGAATCCACCAGTGGCTGGGAGGAAGGATGAGCTCTCTCCTCCCAAGGGGTTTGTAGCCTCAGCTACCCACTGGTTGGCCCGCTAGGTATCAGTTCTGCCAGGACAATGAGAGAATGAGTGAGTGCGAGTGACAGCAGAGGTCACCAGTGTCATCTCGTGTCTGATGACCTGCCCTTACAGCTGACGGCTGACTCACCACCGCTTGTTCAAAGAATTCTCTCAGCTTCTGCTCGGATTCTCCGGACACCCCAGAGACAATCTCCGTAGCAGCTACTTTCAAAATTGGCAAGTCAAGTTCCTATGGGGAAATTGAAAAAACAATAATCAAATTGACAAATTTTAAACTCCTCTGCATTTGTCTTAACCAATGTTTGCATCAAAACTATATTTTTTTTCAACCATCAATGGGTTTTACGGAACACATTAACTATACTCTTTCTGCCTATTTTTACTTTACATAGGTTACCATGAAACTGTCATCATTTCCTCTGAACAGAGGGTCTTGAATTCTCAAGAATATATGTGTTCTTCCATTTATAATGAGCAAAATAGTTTTATCTATCAAGGAGTATGGACAGGAAACAGCAGGACTTGTTGCACAGCTGTCCACACATATCTACTAATATTTCTCCTCCCTAAGTTAGGGGAAGCTCTGGTGGCAGAGAGGGTAAAGAGCTGCCCTACTCACCCAAAGACAGGTAGAGTTCAAATCTACCAGCTGATCTGCTAGGAAACAATAGACAATCACTTTCTGTGTAATTTACAGCCCCTGAAAACCTTTTAAAGAAACACTTGTCAGTCAGTTCCAAATCAACAGAAGTCACCAGCTTCAATGCAGGGGAGGATGAGACTGTCTCCTCCTTTAAAGATTCAGAGCCTCGGAAAACTCCTGAGGCCACTCTACTTTGTCCTACAGAGTCAATGTGCATTAGAATCAACTTGACAGCAGCCCATAACAGGACAGCAAGTTACACACAGAAAAGGCAGGTGCTTTACAATATGAAAGAGAAGCTGGCCCACAAATAAAAAATGAAGCTGGCCCACAAATAAAAAATGACAACCAGTCTGCCCAACCCCTCCTCATTCATCCAGCTACCCTGAAATTTTACTCCCTCAACTTAATCTTTCTTGACCCTAAATCTAACAGGGGTCCCCAACAACACAAAAATGAACTCAGCATTTTTCTATCTTCCACTTATTTACAATTACACATCTGCGTGGTATTTATCTGTCTGATTATTTGGTATCTGTCTCAAACCTCCAGTAACCCTGTGTCTGACATACATTAGTCAGACCAAAAAGATCTGACCAAAAAATGAATAGATGACACATACTATCAAGTTATTCTATAAAAATTACGTTCTTTCAGAGAGCACTAAATTTAGTCCTCTAGAGCATTAAAGACTGCTGTAATTGTTATGTATTATCAAGTCAGAATCAACTCCTAACTGACCCTCCAGAAAATTTTCAGAGGCTAAAAATCACATGGGAGGTGACTAATCATCTTTCTCCCACAGAGCGGTTGGTGGATTTGAATCATGTGCCTGTGGGTGGACAGCACAGCTTCTTATCCCCTGGCCAGCAGCTTCCTAGTGATTAGATTAGTGACTAGAAGATGTTATTCATCTAACTGATACTCTTCAGATACTTTTGTTTCACTCCCTGAAATACTTTCAGAAAAAAACCTAACAAGCTAAAATAAGATTGCTAGCCTTATAATCTGGTAAGTATCTATTATTACTATTTTAGAAAGAAAGGCTATTTTAAGATTAAAATATATAAGAACATTACTCTGAATTACTAAATTTTGCTGCTTCTCAGGAAGCAGGGAGTACAGGAAGAGAATGGATAGATAAAGAACATGACAATGGAACAGATAAAGGGAAGGTAATTCTCAAAAGAATTGGTAATAAGGCATTATGAGTAAGGCAACTAAGAAGCTGATACAGGACAGGCATGAGGAAATAAAGCAGTGGGAAAGGGGGATAAATCTATATGAATGAATGGAAAGAAAAAAAACTTCGAATCCTGGTTCATCAGACCTTTGTTCCTTTGTATGTAGTTTTGTTATTCTATGTTTAATTACCAAATGTTTACTTTTGCTTTCAACATTATAAAAGGGTGCCATGCTATATATACATTAAAAAAATAATCTCTAGTTATTTTACTGCTCTTGAGACCTATGGCTCAAAGGCAAATTGCTGCTAAGAGATACAAAAAGTAAATCAAATATTGGGGGGGGGAGGAACAGGGGGTTGTATACAGGAGCATTATAAATTTCACTTATCACTTCATCTTTGCCATATACACAATTATACATCTTTTCTAAACATTTATCACATGCAAAAGGTAAAAAATACAAAGGATCAGTTATAATAAACATATTCTGTTCCTGAGGGATGTCAAAATTAGCTAAAGTTCATCCCAGAGAACAACAAACATAACAGTAGCATGCAGCTATCTACCAGCCTCACCCCAGCAATGGCATTTGCAAGCAACGTCTTCCCACAGCCTGGTGGCCCATGAAGGAGAACTCCTCGAGGGGGGATGACGCCCAGGTGCTGGTACACCTCAGGGTGGCGCATATGAATGAGCATCTTGCAGACTTCCTGCCGGAGACACAAGGAGGAAAAATACCTTCAACAGCCCAAGAGAAAACAATCAAGTAGAATTAAAGGGCCTATGATTTGACGATATTAGATTTAGAACAAAGGGTACAAGAGTACAAGAAATACTTAGCCTTGGGTTTGAAAACCAGTTCTGGTCCTATTTTGTGACTTTAAACAAATCACTAGGTCTTGCTAAGGTCCATTTAACAGACTATTAAATAATCAAACCCTTAATATGCTCAGCTTCTAACAGAATGGCAGGAGTCCACCAGGTGGATCTGCACCTCAGGAAAGACTTGCAGGGGTCAGCTTGTACACAAGCAAGTGCAGCACAATCTGACCAGGATGCAAGCGGGGCCTCAGGACAGGCGGGGGGCCACTGCTCTCTATAGCTTACGCAAGTTGTTGCTGTTGAAAGCGAACCTCGCAAAATGCACACCGCCTCAACAGTTTCTGTCAGCACACTTTAGCGACTGACTATACTCCCTGAGCTATGCTGCCACCTTCCCCCTCCTCTTTCCTAAGTCACCCCTCATTAATGTTACCAATAAACCATCACTCCCTAAGGTTGCTATTCTAGCAACCTTGCTAGCAAGTTGCTCTTAACAATTTGATCACATACAGATCTTCCCAAAGTATAATGCTAAAAGCAGATCCTTTTTTTTAAAACTAGTTTTTACTACTTTTTTCCAACTTATGTTAAGAAATAATGTATCTTGTAGATTAATGGCAAGTAATCAGCATGGAACTGGAGCACACAGTAGTTACTGTTACTAGTACTGTTAACACAGTACACTGCACTAGTACTAAGTACTAGTTACTAGTACTGATACAGCACACTGCACTTACTCCTCAACATCTTGCAGGACAGACTTGCCCAGTCGTCTTGTCTATTCCCAGCTCATTTCACAAATGGGTAGACTTTGTTCAAATAAGATTGGCAGTATACCCATGATGCAGAATGCCACATCTGAACTGACCTTTAATGTTGTCTCACTGCCTCCAATATCTTCAAACGTCACACTGGAGACCTGCAAAGCTAACAATCCCTTGGCTTTAACAGCCAAGCAAAAGAGAGAAGAGAGGAAGAAAAAATAATTTTACTGCTATAGCAGACAGGAGCAAAGAAAATCAAAGACTCACAGAAAACTAGCCCAAAGACTAACACACTGCCTGAAGCACAACCTCCACTAGTCTGAGGCCAGAAGAGCCACACAGTGTTCAGTTACCATTACCACGGACTCTGACAGGATCACCAACAGAAGAGTCTCAACTAAGTGGAAGCCAGGAGGCTATGGCCTGAGGCTGAGCCCACTCCTGGACATCCCCTTCAGGTGAACAGTAAACAAGCTCTGACAAGTGTGATCAATCACATCTGTGAGTAATGTGTTCCTCAAAACAAATCTATGAGGCCAAAAATCAGCAGTTGCTCCCCCAAACCAAGTTCAAAAGACAGGGAGGGGCAGGACAGATAGGTGAGTGGACACAGAGAACCCAGGGAAGCAGCTGGCAGAATGCTACTGCATGATTACAATGAGGGGACTGAAAAAATATCATGAAACAAGGGAGCTCTGGTGGCCTACTGGCAAGAAACTGCACTGCAATCCCAGAGGTGTGTGGTTTGAATCCACCAGATGCTCTGCTGTAGGAGGAGGGGCAATCTCCTGTGCCAATCAGATCCAATTTGACGGTACACACACAAAAAGTAATAAAACAAAAATTTAAATTTTTTTTAAATAGTCATGAAACAATATGTATCTAAACTAAAATGTTCTCAAAAGATGAGTGATTTAGTATTAGTAATTATACTTACTACTATTCATAAAAACAACGGTTCACTGTTTGTTGTGGTGGTGATATAGAGTCATAACCGACCCATAGCTGACCCTCCACTGGGTTTTCAGAGGCAGTCAATCATACAGAAGGAGATTGCCCATCCTTCTCCTCCAAAGACCATTAGATCCTCAAGTATTTTTTACTAAAAATCTCTGTGCAGAGACAGTCCCGCAATAGAACAGCATGGGAGCTAGGAATCCCTTCCCTTATTCAAATGTCACCCCATGAAGCACGTCTCACTTTTCTTTTGCAGGACAGCTTCAATTTCTCCATCTACTTCCTGAAGACCTTCTTTCTTCCTTTTGCTTCCTCTGTTCTTTAACATCTCTTTCCTTTTATCACGCTCAAGAAAAGACGACTCTTCTGAATCCTAGAAAAGAGAAAATGAAATCTACCCAATCATACTGGCCTGTGGATAAGGAGCTGTGTTGTCCATCTAAAGTTAAGTGGTTCAAATCCATCAACTGCTTCACAGGAGAAAGACCAGCCATCGCTTCCCATGTGATTCAGTCTCTGAAAATCCACTGGACGGTCAGCTCAGAGGTGGTTCCAACTCAACGGCAAGAAAAGTGGTAAAGAAAAAACATCTTCAAGCGAATAAATTCATAAACAGTGGAACTCTATCCCCAACCTTGCCAATTTTCACTGTCCTCTATAGTGGCTAAGGCAGAGATACAGAAAAGGCATATTACTGTAAGATAACAAGGGGGAGCTCTTCAAATCACTTAGTGCACAGCTCAAAAGAAACACAGCACTAGACAGATGAGTAACTTGATATATTCTAGCTTATTTTTTAAAAAGGTAAACTGATGATATATTTTAATGTAATATATTCAAATATAGTAACTTTAACTTATAGTATGAAAAACGATGAAGCTAGTTGACATTTATGCAGCGAGTCTTCAAAATCCAATCTACTTTTTATTCACAGCACTAAACTTCATGGGAATTACTTGATTTCTATATTGTTGTGTACCATCGAACTGGAACCAATCCATAGCTGACCTCCAGGGGTTTTTCTGAGGCTGTAAACTGCATGGGAGGAGACTGCCCATCCTTCGTCCCATGGAACAGCTGGTGGATTTGAAATGCATACTTTCACACTGGCAGTAGTACAATTCCTTACCACTACGCCATCAGAGCTTATATTTCTGTATGTTGTGGTGTACCAAAGAGTCAGAACTGACTCATAGCTAACCCTCCGGGGGGTTTACAGAAGAAATTAACTGCATGGGAGGAAATAGTTTCAAGAAATTTCCAGTTGAAAAAGTAAATTCATGTCCTATTTGTTCTATACATATTTGAAAGTTTTCTAATAACTGAATGATCTGTTTTTAAGTTTAAATTAAGTAAGATTAAAAATTCAGCTCCACATATTCCAAATGCTCTATACCCACATGTGTCTAGACCCTACTACAGTGCACACACTGTCAGTCCTTCTCTATCCACCGTATCCTAAGATACACTACTTTAAGCCCCTTATCATCCTGCCAGTCCAGTGTGGTAAGCCAAACTCATTTTTCCTTATAGATGTTATATTTCCATTTTTTTTTAAAAAAGTCTATTTCCTATGTGTTTTTATCCATTTTACATAGGATACTTCAGAATATTGTCCTAGTGTGAAAATAAACCCCATTGCTGTATCTATTAGCAGTCCTTCCTTCTACCAAAAGCTAGCAACTCTCTGTAATGTGTATGCAGAGATTAGTTTTGACTACCAGCAAATTATTTCCAGAAGTTCATTAGGCATGAACTCAACCAACTGAGAGAGTTATGTGCAAAACATATTGTAATTAAGATAAATTATTAAATAAAAGTCTCTGATCTCTCAGAGCTTACACTGCAGTCAAGGGAGTCAATAAATACCAACACCAAAAACCTTAAACCACTCTACAGTAAATCAGGTGATTCTAAGAGCTTTAAAGTATAAAGGCAGATGAAGAAACAGTATCCAGTCGGGAAAGTGCTGCACAAGTAGGTCATGTGAACAGAGAGATGAGTAGTGATGGGGGGAGCTTTAAAAATAGGGAGAAAGACTTACCCAGGTAGGGGGAAAAAGGCGAACACCATCGAAAAACAGTAAGCGGCCACTGTATAGGGGCAGAGTGCTGAGAGATGAGAGAAAAGAGACAGCCAAACTAGGAATGGCTTCTTTGACAACCACAGGGTCTTCAGCTTTCAAGGAGAATTAAAGAGTTTTAATCAGGAGAAAGCTCTGCAATCCTGAATCTGACAGATGCTCTGTGGAGAAGGAGGGGCAATCTCCTCCCATGTGATTCACAGCCTCTGAAAAACCTGCTGGAGGGTCAGCTATGGGTTGGTTCTGACTCAAATGCACACAAGAAGCAGGAGAATGAATTAACAACCCAATTTTACTTATGACAATATAATTCTGTGAACAATAAGCAAGAGGAACTAGAATGAACACATTTCTATTAGGAGAGGATTATAAAAAATAAGGCAAGAAACAGACACTTGAACTAAGATGGGAATGACAGTGGGCAGAGGCCAAAAGCTACATGTATCTTAAAATTATTATGACTTTCGCAAAACACAAGTATCTGCTTGATATGTAATGTATTCCAGCTAAGCGAGGTGAGAATTTAAAACAAAAATACCTGTCTTTCAGACACTGTTCTCTTATTATTTTTCTCATCTGACAGATCCATGAAAAAGCTGTCTTTCTCTCCACCTGGGGTTCTTCTGTCAATAAACCATCCTCGTTCTGAAACCATGACAGAGGTCTTCGAGGGAACAGAGCCTGTCGCGGAGGCTAGCCTCGGTGCTGGAGAGGTGCCTTCTCTTTGCTCCATTTCAGGAGTAGTAGATGCACAGTCAGGATTTCCTTTCCGATACAAGGAGAGCAGGGAGCTGTTCATGTGATTGGCTGACTGTCAGAAACAAGATTTTAGTAGGAGTTACTCAACTGGTGCACATCAAAGTTTACTCACCTGTACTAATATAACTTTTCTTACGTGTTTTGTCTTCTTCAGCTTCTACAGTATTCATATTCTTAGGTGATGTTTTAGTTATCAGATCATATAACTGGTAATTTACTAAAACTAAAACCATAGCTGATTCTCCAACCCAAACTATCAACATGTTAATCCGCCCTGATTTTGACAGAATCAAAACCAACCATGAATGAACCAAAGGTGAAAATGTAAACCAACTCTCATCTCCACACAAAATTAGCAAACTTCATAGCACAGTATGTGACATTTGAATACTTTACAATGAAAGACACTTCTTTAAAGTTTACAATGAGGATGCATATTTCAAAAGTTAATATACATATAGCCCAAATGCCTAAACTTTAACAGCTTGTTACTGTTAAAATTGGACTTTTTTTTTTTTATACTAAACTTTTTATTCAGGTTTGATTTTAACAAATGTGTCGGGAGAGGGCCTGCAGGAAAGGGTGAAGCCCACGGGGGCAGGGCCCTCTCAGATGCCTGAGGAGGGGGCAGGCCCCCTCCCCCTTCTCCTCTTCCCTCCCCATCTCAAGGGGCTTAGGGAGAGATATAGGCAGGGGAGGGGGCTGGTCCCCAGTCTGTGGGGGTGGTTCAGGCAGGAGAGGACTACAGATAAGAGGACCAGATCAGGGATAAATGGAGAAGGACAGAGGACCATTTGCCAGAATCCACAGCATTCTGATTCCAGACTGAATTAAAAGACAAACTAAACCACAAGCAGCACCCTCCCCATCTCCCCCACCAGGGCTGTAGTGTGAGGGGAGAAGAGAAGGGCAGCTTCACCAGTGCCACTGCTTGCTCCTGGCCAAGAGCAGGTGAAGGGCAGGGGTCCCTGACAGACTAGGGGGAGAAACCAAAATAAAACATCAAATAAATCGTGGAGGAGGAATCCAGCCAAGAGCCAGGCCAGACCAGGCCAGGCTGGGGAAGGGGGCCTCTGCAGGCTCCAGGACCACTGCTGCCACTGCCACCACTGCCGCCACCTCATGAGGGGAGTGAGTTATTTTGCCATGGCCTTGATTACAATAGCGGCCTCCTCTGTCATAGCAGACAGCACTGTGATCAGGATCTCTTCTCCACAGTCATACTTCTGCTCAATCTCCTTGCCGAGGTCTCCCTCAGGCAGACAAAGGTCCTCTCAAACTTCCCCACTATCTTGGAGCAGTGATAGGTACCTATCCTGGATGCCAATCAGCTGGAAGTCATTCCCTTTGATGTTGGGGACATCCATATTATGAGTGGAGGGGCAGATATCTTCATATTTCTTCCCAGTAAAGATGGCAATACCAACCAGGTGGACTTGGCATGGCCATGCTTGCCAGACTTGGAAGTAGACATATCGATGATCTTACATGGTCAGCCTTTAAGCACCACAAAGCCATTCTTATGTAATGCTGAGCACTGCACTGGGAAGGTGGCAGAGACCCTTGTATCTCCCGTCTCGAAGTCCAAATCATCTGCCAATTTTCGATTCCTAGGGGGAGGGGAAGGGTTCCTGCTCTGCCATGCGGCCCGGGTACATGTTAGGCCATGGGGCCTCTGACTCTAGGGCTGCCTCCCTGGGGTCCAACTGGACTTTTTTTAAAGACTGTCTTTTTTCAATATTTGTTGTTGTTGAGGATAATTTACACCAATTCAGTGGCAGTGATTCCATTCTTCATGTTATGCAAACCTTCTCAAACTCCTTTGCTAGGTTGCTTCCCTCACTATCAATATAAACTCACAACTCGCCTAGCAGCCTGCTGTCTCTCATTTAATTTTGCTAGTTGGCTGTTGTCAATTTGATTCTACAGTTTTTAAGAGCACAATGCTCAAGACAAATATCCAGTATTACTTGCACTAGATTTATTTTAGGGAGCTCTGGTAACCTAGGGGTAAGAATCATAATCAATCATATATACATATATCAGGACTGCAAATACAAGAATTCAACACTGTACCTATAATGCATTCAATTTGTGTTAATGATGTCAAAAGTCTCCTACTTTTTTATTATGAAATTTTTCTAAGGACCAACAATGATTAAAATAATCAAAACAAGTCAGTCAAATGTCGGACTTACATGTGGATGTGGGTAATCTTCCATATTTGAATCATCATCAGAATAACTTTCAGTATACCTTAGTTCAGAGAGAGAAAAAAAAAATCTTAGGGTTTTTCTCCTACCTTCTGATAAAATTACCACTCAAAGTAAGAAACTAAACTAAAAAAAATGGTGAATAACAACTCAAGGACCTAAGAAACCTGGATTCAAAGTTGAGTGTCACTAGTTTTCCATCCTAAGCCTCAGCTACCTGAGCCATAAAATGAAGATAATAACTAATATCTACACCTCATAATTACTAATGTAACCAAATCATAGAACTAAAGGCAACTTTTTCAAGGCTGGTCAAAAGAAATTGAGGATCAAAGAATTTTTCTTATGCTGTGGCTGAAAGAAGTATACATCCTAATTGCAAGTGGTCTTTGGAATGCAGGCTCAGTTCATTATAAACAAAAGTTAATGTTCTACAGCTTGAACTACAATGCTGCTACTATTTAAGGTAATTTATTTTAAGATAATGTTTAAAAGAAAAGACCTTTCCTAAAAAAACATCTACATGAAGCCTACAACCTTATTTAAATTTAGGTACAAATTCTTTCTATTCATTAAATTCTAAAAATATTTAGTAGGATTATTTCTCTCTACTAATAAAATGAATTCTAAGTGTAAACATATTATTTATATGAGTAGGATAAAATATAGATTTTGTTTTCTTTGAATTAAACAGGTCATTCTAAGTTTATCAGGAAAAACAAAAAGATTTTTAGATTTACTACGAAAAGTAAAAAAAACTTCTCTAATAAAAAAGCACTGTAAATATATAAGGCAGAGAGAAAAGTGTGCATAAATGAACAAATGATTTAAAAACTGGGAAAAAATAGAAGGCAAATGGCAAAACTGGTGTGTAGCATTTGCAACGTACATAAAAAAGCTGTTTTATGTAAAAAACCAAACAAGGAATATCCAAACACTTCTCAAATGAAACAAAAATCAAAACTACTGACAACGGAAATATCAAAGAGTGGGTCAAAAAACTAACCTTATTAGTTATCAAAGTGTAGGCAGAGGGGAGCACTAGGTTTGCACCACCAGGAGAATTAGGAAAAAGGTGGGTCTAAGGGATACATGCAGTACAGAGAAATGTCACTAACTGTCCATGGAGAAATATTTTTATTAAAGAGTCTTTTCTTGTGTGTACTTGCACAATAAAAACTACAAATATAATAAAAATAAAGGGTAATAGTAAGTAGGATTGCAAAGGAATAAAGAAATGGATGCCCTTTTGGTGGGGCACAAACCAAGACAATTTGTTTTGAAGGGCAATGTCCTCCAGAAAAACCAATGTTACAAGAGGCTAGAGACCAGCTTTCTGGTCATCTCCAGAAAAACACTAAGCAAATCAGTGGACAACACAAATCCCCCAGACTGGACCAGCTACCAACTGACAGAGCTCAGCACAAGTAAAATAGAATCAACCAGCTGATCACAGTCTATATTTCAGCTGATCACAGTCTGAATTTCCAATCTACCAATCTTATTTAGAACTGTAGATGATTTATAAAGCAAGTGACTGTAAGATTACCTAGCAATCTAGAATGTAGCAACAGATAATTAGAACAACACACAGAATTCTAGATAAAGTCAGACAGAAAGGCCATTAGCAGGCTGACTCAAACTGAGAGATACTCATATTGAGACATCTATAACATGTCAATGGCCAATAACTTTAATACTTCTACTAGATTCTTGACCAACTAAATATAATTGTTACCAATTTTTACATAAAATCATTGTTATCAATGATTGTATAAAACACAATGTACATGAATGAAGCACAATGTACACAAATTACTGCATGCAAACCAATAAAAAATTTTAAGAAAAATTAATGACATTTGAGATAAAGAATTTTAACAGTGTTTCTAAACTGGAAAGCTGTACTGTGGCGATGCAAGAAAATAGCCTTGTTTTTAAACAATATGGAGTGATATTACAGGATAGACAATTTGGGATGACGATATAGAGGAGTATTGTTCTTACAATTTCTGTCAGTTTAAAATTATTTAAAAATGAAACATAAAAAAATGCCAAAATATCAACAATGATGCTGAAACTAAGGATAGCTTCACTCTCTTTCAAATACTAACTTTGCAATTCCTTCTTTTTAAAAATGAGCAAGAATTAACATTATAACTAAAATACAAATAAAGAAAAACAGTGACTGGGGGAAAAAACCATGTGGATCCAAGACAAAGTGCACAACAATTCAGAAAATACCTTAAACTGAATGACATAAAAAATAGAACACATCAAAAATGTGTGGGATATAGCAAAATCAGCAGGTTACTCTAGCAGGCAAATGGGTCGAGTTGTGCTGGAAACCTCAAGGCAGGTAGTTCGATTCCACCAGCTGCTCTGAGGGAGAAAGATGGGCAATCTCCTCCTGAGTGATATACAGTCTCTACTAAAAACCTGCTGGAGCTCAAAGTTGGTTCTAAATCAAGAGTAGTGACAAAGAGTTTTGAAAGCAAAATCAGTACTTAAAATGCAAGCATTTTGAAATGTTACAAAGAAAAGAAAAAATGTCTAGGTCACTAATCTAAGTTCTCTCCCTAAGAATTTAGAAAAGCAAAGTAAACACAAAGCAAGGAGGAAAAAAATAATAGCAGAAATCAACAACCAACTAGCTAAACCATTTTAGCTTATTTAAAAAAAAAAAAAAAGTTCAGCAAACTTTTAACCACGAGCTAGACAGAAAGGAGAGCTTAACTCTCCAACATTAAGGAACATTAAATGAATAAGAGAGTATTATGAACTACTTTATTCCAGCAAATTCTAAGGCTTGAGTTATACTTGACATGACAGCATATAACAACAGGTCTTATTTTGGAATTACTATGGAAAACCTTCCCTTAAAGAAAACTCTAAATCGTTGAAGCATCCTCCTTTGTTTCCAGCTGGGAGCTGGGGCCTGTCAGTCCTGTCTGCCACGAGGACCTGATGTGAGCCACCTTGGCCAAGTGTCCTTCAGAGCCGCACTTAAAGCAAGTGAATGGGAGCTTCCTCTCTACTCCCTTGCCTATCTGTGGCTCTCGTCTGTGACACTGTCTACT